CTTTTATTAGAAGATCAAATCCACCACTCACTCTTTCAGTAGAATCGCACTGCATTGTGCCATTATTTTTTATGCCCAGGTAATGGAATCAGTCACATAGAATTCTCAAATGCAGATCTGAATGGAGCCAAGCTCATCTTGTGAGTAAACTCAGGACTCAGTGCAGGGCCAATTGCGGCTGGCTCTCTCTCATCCATGTGCACTAGTTTTGGTGCAACTGCCCTCATCCTGGAACGGATGGCCCCAATTAAGAGAATCATAATGTAAGCAAATCCCTGCCACCTCGGACAGTGCTCGTATTATCTTCCAATCATCTTCAGCATCCCCGACTGTAGGGACTGCAGGCAGTGTTTGTTGTGCGCAGCCTTCTGTATTTGCATATGTCTCTTCCTTCTCACTATATGCAGATGATGGGAGAATGACATTGGCACGGTGCACACCACAGTCCTATGGTGACCCTGATAAACAACGAAGGCATCTTCTGAAATCTTGTCCAAATTTACATCATCAGCACCCATTAAATACAAGAACTTTTCTGATTCTACTCCCTTGCCAGACACTGGTGGAAGTCCAAGGTCAAGGGCTGCAGCCTGGGCGAGCACTAAGAAGCAAAACATTGAATTCATTCCAATCGGGTCTGGTAACCTTCCCATACTTTGCAATGGCCTCAACATCGGAGAAAATTGTATCCTTGTCCTTCCTCTCAAACAACCTAGCACCAAAAAGGAGTAGGTTCCGGCTGAGCTGCAGCTGCGGATGCATCGGAGGATTGAAGCTCCAGTTTGGTGACGATCGAACGGCAATGGGGTTCTAGGAAGAGAGGATTCTAGTGGTGCTAGAGATAAGCTTTATTGTTCCTCAGTGTTATTGAGGCTAACAAGCCTAATCCCATTTTCAGCTTTCGTCAGAGAAGATCTGTGCGGTCTGGGATTGCATTGTGGATTGAGCGAAGATCTTCGAAATGCGTGGAGGTCTCAGGTGGGTTGAAATGCAGCAGGTGTGTGCTCAACCAGAGCCGG